CCTTTAGAGTTTGCTGCTGCTGCTGCTGTTGTTTGTTCATGTTCATTAATATCATGATTTTTGAGGGTAACAAATTTTATAAAGTTTATAAAGATTTCTTCTTTTGTGTGGCACTGTGTATATGTGAGAGATACCTTCAACACTCAGGCAGAAAGTTGACATCTCTGCTTTACCATTCCTTTCTTACTTGCAGAACCTGAAAGTCAGCCAGAGGCAGGTGCTTAAGGCCTGCTCTGATCTTTCGTGAACATGTGCACAGCCATACACATATTCATGATTTTCTTGATTTCCAGCAACTTGTTGTAGCTTTTTTTAAACTCAGCTTTTCTTTTTAAGCCTTTAGTTAACTTTTTATTTGCCTCAACTGTTATCTATTGCCAGCAATAAAATTAAACAACTATCTATAAAATTTTTGGCAAATTGCCCTGTAGTAGAAGTTTTTACACTGGGTGATGTCTGAATCACTGTAAACAAGCCTTGCAAGTAGGGTCTTCTAGGTAACTACTAGACAAGTAAAACAATGACAATATTTTGGGAATGAGGTTTTCAGGGCATTCCATTCCTGTTCTGATTTTTCTGGTAGCTGCTAGGCTGCTAGTTTTCACCATGATCAGGAACTGTTTGTTTTCAAGCTTAACAAGAATCTGAGGGTGAGGGGGTATAAAGCAAGTTAAGATGCTATGAAACTCATATTCTTACCAAGAATCAGCCATTTTTTTCTTGAATAAATTCTTCCTGGGTTGCCAGGCATGGTGATGCACATTTGTAATCCTGGCTACTCAGGAAGCTGAGGCAGAAGGATCACAAGTATGAGGCCAGTCTGATTAATACAGTAAATCTCTAAAAAATGGGAAGAGAGGGCCGGGGATTTATAGCTCAGTGGTGACACTGCACCACTGGCAAGTGTAATGTCCTGAGTTTGATTCTTGGTACCAAAAAACAAAAAATGGAACAGAGCGGGAATGTAGCTCAGTGGTAGAGCTCTTACCTAGCATGCATGAGGTCCTTAGGGTTTTATCTCCAGCACACACACATACTGTACACATGTGCACACATACATGAAACTTCTCATATTGATTCTGATATTATCAGTTTTCTCAACCTTTTATGGAGGTGAGGATTGTCTAAAGACCTCATTCCTCCAATTTTGCTGATATTACCAACTACCCTGGGACTTTTCAGAGTCAGATATTCTTGGAGACTAAGTAAAGTGGAATCCAATCTGTACTCTCTTCAGAAAATAGCATATTCTAAAATACAAATTCCATTTTTGGACTTTTACAATTAAGCTCTATAGTCCTATCAAGACCTCAAAACTTTGGCAATTCAGTTTCCAATTCTATCCTTTGTACTTTCTTTTAATTTTAATTTCCTTATTTGCCTAAATAAATTTTGGTATTTGTTTCTAAAACAAAAAGTCTAATTAGTGACTCAGCAGAGTAAGAGACAAAAAGTACATTAATTAAAACTTCAAGATAATAATCTAGGAAGTTTGTTAATCCAATATATACGCATATATATGAAAATATCTTCCTATCAGAAGTACTATCCTTATATGAATTAATCCAGCTTTTATTTAATAAAAGCTTCTTATTCATCTTGTGTTCATAAGTATGAATTTCACTTTTTCATACACGCGAAAGAAGAAATGCTACACGATTTAGGAATAATGTATGTTTTAAAGAATTCCCAAAAACCATGGACTCTTTTTCTAGGAAAATGAACATATATATGTAAACCTATTCACAATTTGAAGGGATTATTTGATAGTTTTCAGTCTGCAAGTTAAAAATACCTATTGAACAGAATTATTGTTTTGATGGCAAAAATATTCAAATAACATCTTTAGTAGGGCAGTGAGAATTCAAAATATTAAAATATCTGTAGATGATCTATAATTTATAAAAATATTTCATTTCAAAAGTTAATTTGTAAGTTATTTTGAATTTATCACATTTTTTTCTAAAAAAGCCCACAATATTAAAAATGGTTGGGGAATATTAAATTATTTTTCCTAAGGACAGGTCCTGTTTTTATGTGTCTCTGTATTTTAATGACCTATCCAAATAAACAACACATAGTAGGTTCTTAGGTCACCCTTAAGCAAACTGATTTCACTCAAAATGTTTGAATACAAATGTACTTATAAAAGAAAAAATATCGAGGTAATGATAAGGATCAAATAAACCACAATGCAAAAAGATAATGGTTAGTTCTAGATATTCATATTGGAATTTAAGGATTCCTTTTATTGTGTTTAATTTTACTTTGAAATTTGTTTCTTCTTAATAAAGTAACTCTTGCTAGAGTTTTCCATAAAATAGGTCATGTTTGTGACTGGACTGAAAGAGCAGAGGAGATAAGATGTTTTGCAGTGACTGGAAAAGAGTTGGGAGGGGATACATGAGGACAGCGCTATTCAAAGAGACTTTAGATGACAAAATGATTTACTAATTTTACATATATTATACATCCTATACAATATGTCTAAGTCAGAATAAAGAAAGCTAATATAAACATGGGCAGTAGAGGATATGCGAATTCCATTGCAAAAAAAAAATAGGTGGAGATGGTGGTGATACAATTTTGATTCTGTTTCTTGATTAACTTATGAGTCACTGTGCTGAAGAAGATGGAAGCTAGTCTGGTGTCCTAAATATGAAATGCCAATTGCATATTTTCACTGGAATACCACCGAATTCTGATCAGAATGAGATAAGTCCATGAGTAACATAAAGAGTTCAGCCAGGTGTGGTGCCGCACGCCTGTAATCCCAGCACTTGGGAGACTGAGGCAAGAGGATCACTGCAAGTTTGAGGGCAGCCTGGGATACACAGTGAGTTCAAGGCCAGCATGAACTACATAGTGAGACACTGTCTAAAAAAAAATAAAACAAAAAAACAAAACAAGGATTCAATTGAATATTGTTTAATATTTATAATTTGTATCATCATATAGGATAGATATAAAAAGAGTACAGGATTACATGAAGTTCAATGAGGCCTATGAGTATAAAGGATCAATGAAATGACTAGGTCTTGTCTTGAGGACAAGATTTGAAGATGTTTATATTGCCAAAGCAATGAACTAACACTTTAGTGATAGGCTTTCATATATTGTAGTAAGTAAAGGCAGGACTTAAACCCAAGGATATGGATTATATGCCAAGTCCTCTACTTTTTTGAAGTTTGGAGTTTGACTCCCTAAGTGATAGTCTGGTTCTATAGCTCCAGGGATCTGGCTGAAGAAATCTGTCAATAAACCACCTCTGGGAAATGAGAAAGTAATTAATTGTCTTCCTAAAATTTGTCTTTAGCTAGAAAGATATAGATTAGATAAATGATGAGACAAATCAATCCTCTGATGTTAATCTTGGGTTAAATAATAATACATGAATATTTATTTTACTTATTTGTAATAATACTTAAGAGGATTTGGTTTATATTTTACCAATTCAATACAAGTAATTTAATAATCGATTTAACACTTATTTTAAATTAGAATTTTGCTAAGATTATAATCAGCATTAGAACATTTAAAAGAAAGTTTTAAAAAATCTATTTATTTAATGAATTAGGTTTGTATAAAAAATCTCAGTACTTGTGAAAATTTTCTTTACTAGATAACTGATACAGAAAAATCAGAGTATATTAAACTCAAAGGCAGTTAAAAGTTTAAGGAAATAGTGCTTGTCGAGTGTGCTTGAAGCCCTAGGTTTGAACCCTAGCAGTGCAAAAAAAAAGTTTAAAGAAATATAGTTTAGTTGTAAAGTTTGCTTAAAGACAAATTTTAAATTTTTCTAAATTTATAAAACAATTTACATTCAAAAGCAGTTAATAGCCAACCTCAGACTATGAAATCATTAGTTTCTAAAATTTATCACAAAATTTTACAGATTAAAGCACTAAAACCAAATCAGTTAATGATTCTTTGCAAATAGCAACTTCTAAGAATCTTCTACAACTATCATGTGGATAATAAGAATTCAAAGGGTCACAAAGTATTTAAAAGTAATGATCCTGAAAAAATATATACAGGGACACATTAACTTGAGCTCACAGTATATGAGCTTCTACTGTCCAAAGTAAGATAACTGGATAAAACATAAACAGGTAGCTCTCTCTTAGATTTTATAACTTAAACCCTCAGCTGTACTGGTCTGGGGATTAAAAGTAAAAGTTTTAAAGAAGAATTCATCTTTCAATGGACTGTGGCAAACTCTAAAGTTAGAAGGATGCTAAATAGAAAAGGTACTGGAATAGTTATGCCATCTGAAATATGAAGTTTGGTTACATAAAACTATGGCCTAAAAACTAAAAAATAAATTAAAATGATTACATGTTATTTGAAAATATTTATACATATTAATAATGATTATTCATACCTTCTTACAACAAGTTTTACTCCTGCAAGTTCTAAGGGTACTGATTTTTAAAAATTTTTTCACATAAACTGCATGTGATTTAAACTAAATGTGATATATGTATATTCTAGTTCTACTAGATCATAATCTTAAAGGTTATGTAATTAGATAGAGCTAGGAGCTTCTTCTGAATCTGCAATTATCAGCTTTGCAATTATTTCCCCTCCCTTCTCATATCATGTCTCACACCATAGCACTCAAATTAGATTCTCAAAAAACATGTCCAGATTTCACTTTTTCCAGTAAAAAAAAATGGGTCCCTAACAATTATAGATGACTTTCTAACTCTATAAATAACTTTTTTTTCCTCAATGAGTTTATTGGTACTTTTTAGGTATACAGTACAGTTACATTCATCATTGGGATCTTGTACCTTTACTTTCTATAAATAACTCATTTAAATACTATCTCTTAGAATTATAGGAAACCAAAATGGAGTTTAACCTATCTCCACCCACTTCCCACTATACCACACCCTCTCCTTCCCCACCCCCAGATGAAGGTTAGGTTGGTAAATGGATTTTGAAGATGAAATAAAGCCAGACATCAAATAACTTACTTGAAATCCATCTCTTACCTTCTGTACTTAACCCTGGACTTGATGTGAACTTGGCTACATCAACAATTTTTACAGCAAATTGTTGCCCAGTTTCTCTGTTGATACATCGTCGTACAACACTGAAGGGACCCCTAAAAAATAAAAAGTCAATTTTAATTCATTGATTTTAATTTGTTCCTCTTTCTTCTTAGCATCTTACTGTTTCATTACCTATTATAGCTATACTACTGAATCACCAAGCCATTCTTTTTCAGACTCCTGAAGGAATATAGTTTTCAAAATAAAATTCAAGTAATCATTTTGAACATATTTTTCTGTAATTCATGAGGTACTTAATCATTTACAAATATTATTAAAACAGGAAATAGAAGCTAAATAATTAAATTTGCAATTCAAAATCATTTTTTAAATTCTAAAGGGGAAAATAATCACTGTAATATTCCATACAGATTATATCTTAAAATAAGTAAAGCCCATCATAGTGGTAGTATCTAGAACTTTATTCTTTCAAACCAGAAACTAAAGTCATTCTTCACACCTTCCTCTTATCTTTCCTACCACTTATCTAATCTTTACTAACAAGCCCTACTGAGTTTATCTCAAATATCTGTCAAACCTGCCTTCTTTCCAGGTCCCTTACCCTAATTTAAACTATTACCATCTTAGTTGTGTTTACTGAAAAAGTTACTTCTCTCATTCATTCTTGTAGTAATGTTTTAAAAATGAAAATCTGGTATTGTGTCCCTTCTTAAAATCAGAGTGGGGAAGGGAGGGAGGGAAGAAGAGGGAGGGAGGTTTCTAGTCAAGAACCAACATATATAAGTAATTCCTATATAGAATAAGAAAAAGAATATACTCCAATAAAATCTGGGCAAAAGACTTAACAGGCATCTTCACAAAGAGAAAACCCTGGATGATTTGGTCTTCAACAACCTCTCTACTCTCAAATGAAATTACAGAGAAATCCTTCATTCTCTTGACTTCAAATTAGAATTTTAATTTGATACAAGAAAGCTGCAGAGTCACTGCTCCAGCTATTTGCTTACCAGTCTTCTCCTCAATCCAAATTGATCACTTCTAAATCTCCTACTTGAAGTTGCTAGGATGATTTTAGAAATAGCAATACTCAATCTCAAGCAACACATGCCCCCATAAACAATAAACAAATAGTTTCTTCAGATTAATAGTTAAGAAATAAACATCAGATTACAAGATAACCAAAAGACAGATTGGTGCATGTTTGTGAACTATTTTTTTGTTTGTTTTTGTTTTTCGAGACAGGGTCTCACTATGGAGTTGAGATTGATCTAGAACTCACTATGTAGCCCAGGCTGGTCTCGAACTCACAGTGATCCTCCTGCCTCAGCCTCCCGAGTGCTGGGATTACAGCAGTGCGCCACCACGCCCGGCTTGTGAACTATTAACACATAATGCAATAGCAATACACTGCAGTGGTTTGTTTGATGTATGCTTTAAATTATTAAATACAGAAACATGCATGTATGTAGTTTTCACCTGCTGGCGGAGGCAGATTAAAGAGTACCTTCACTGGCTTTGAGAGATACAAACAGTACACATGGATGCATGTACTCATTCAGCATATGGTAAATAATTCTTCATTTACACTAGGCCACTTGTGATACTGCTTGCTTTAAACTTTGTGTTTCTTTTTTCAGTTAGAGGACATGCAAACAAATTTAATCTAGACTTTAAGATTCCTCCACGATCATATGAATACCATCATGAGGACATCAATTACACCACAACTTCAAATCTCTCTCTTCAAACAATCTACTAAAGCTAACCTGGGAGAAGAAGAAAGGGTAATAATGTACCTTTCAGAACTCTATAGAAAGAAGGCCTTTTCCATAATCACTCACAACTGTTCAAAGGTTTACCTCTGTGACAATATAAAAAAGGGAGATAGGATTCCCACAAATGTTTTTACTTTCAACCTGGATGCCTAACTTGTGATTATTTATTCTGACAATAGCAAGCAATTTCAGGAAATGCTTAATGTAATTGGTTTTTGTCCACACATAAGCATTTGGGACTATATTTATATATACTTTTGTGCAGTGTGCTTCAATTCACTAGAACATTTTGGAAACTTTCCAAGATCTGTATATGGGATTGTTCATGGTCAATCGAGTCAATTCTTTACTTTCCCCCGCTTGAACAAAGGTAAAGAAGAAAGAATAGCTTATGTCCCCACCCTTTTAGTAAGAGTAAAATTAAAAGACTTAGAATGGAGAGAAAAGGGAATAAGGAAACAACAAAACTCGAAAATTTTTAAAGTCTGTGAATAAAAATCAAATTAAATCCCTAATTTTTTGAGCCAATTTTATAATAAGGCAAAGAAAATGAGTATACATATGAATTATTTAAGACCTGAAGACAAATCACAGGTAAACCATTTGAAAGGTCTGTTCTCTAACGATACCCAGCAGACTGACAAGGGTAAACTAAATGCCTTAAAAAAGACATGCAAATATACTCTGAGGCTTTTTTTTTTGGAGGGTGGGTGTGTGATTTAATCCACATGAAATTCAGCAGAAAAATTTAAAAGTTGGCTTGTTCTCTCCTCAAAAAGGGGTAATAAAGTATGTGTAATGCATCTACTACAGTACACTTATTAATTACCCTTGGATGACAATTTAGAGAAGAGCAAAAATTAATAGGGCCAAGGTTTCAGTTTGGTCTGTATCCTATTTTGATGTTTGTTGATCTTTCATCATTAACTTTAAAAAATCTATGGTACAGTCAATTATTAAGTATTTATGTGGGAAAATATTCACAGAGATAGTTTGTAAGTCATCATCATAAAGTACTATCTTTCCATATTTATACTAATTATTGCCTGGGTATTGATCCAAATGGAATAATACCTTACAGTATTTCAGATTTGATTAAATATACACTTTCATTCAACTCTTTACAAATACTAAATATTGACTGAGCTTGTAATACAGGTTCTACTTGAGGCAGATGGCTACCTATAGCGGTCTGTATTTTTAAGTAACAGGTCAATTAAACCAAATATGTTATAAGTGAGTATTGTTATGATATTCCCTAAAGATAGTCTAAGTCACTGGTGGTGAACCTGTGGTACTCATGCCACAATGGGCTGTTTGTATCAGTGAATGGTCTAAAAAGATTGGCCATCACTGATCTAGGTAATAATTCTGATGCTGAAGATATATATACATATTTTTTTTTCTTTTAAATAGTTAGAAATAAATGACATCATAATACAAATTACACTAGCAGGTTGGCTTCCAGAATAATAGGGCTGATTGAGCATAGTGCATTTAATTTACTTCTTTCCCCAAGCCCCACTAAAATTCCATCAAAATAGTTTTTAGAAAGGACTGGGAGAATGAGAAAACATAACAGTAATAATTAAATTTGGGAGGCAAGACAGCAGATGGAGTGATGGTGACTTAACAGAATTAGGAAAGCTGACCTGCAAAGAGAAAATATAAAGCCCATTCAGAACCATATGCATTTATACAACAGAATCCTCAAGAAGCTCATGATTTGGTACCACCAGATAAATGTGGAACTAGAAGTAAAGAAAGGATGGGGTTAAGATAAAGTATGAATGAAATTTGTTAGTGACAAATTTCTTTTATACCACGGATAACTGCTCCTTCAGTAAAACAGAATCTTAGAACCAGAGACAAGGCCATAGAGGAAATGGGTACTATATGAAAACTAAGGGGAGTAGGAGGTCACATACACATGCAATACTGACAGCCTTAGTCCCTTTTTCCCTAACAGGGAATACTGGAAGGCAATTCTTTACCCTTAAGGCAGGAGAGGAAACGATTTCTATTGGATGACTGACCTGCCCAGAAGGACAGATAAAAAGATTATGACACAACTTTCCTCAGATTGCTCAGCTAGGTTCCCCCTCCAGCAAAACCCACAGTCCCCAAGTCATACTTGCCCCTACAGAGCTCTCTCAATCAGCTTTTAGGCCCTCTGTTTCAGGGTTTCCAGCCTGAGCACTATTAGCATTTTGACCTGGATAATTGGGGGGAGCAATGTGCACTGGATTCACCAGATGCTAATAGCTGTATCTCCTAGCTTTGACCACCAAAAATTTCTCTAAATACTTTCAAAAGTTCTCTGTGGGCAAAGGTGCTCCCAGTTGAAAACCACTGCTCTATCACTTATGTTGAGTAGACACCCAAGGCTCCTGAGACATCTGGCAAAAGTCTATTTGGAAACAGGGGCCAAAATAGAAAGACAAACTTAGAAGAAACAGATCATACAAGAAAAACACTTCAAATTGCCATTATTATCTTCAGAAAGATGTTACAACCATGAAATAAAAACACAACTTTCACAAAACAAAATAGAGCTCTTAAAAACCAAACACAGAAATAAATTGAATACTTAACATAAGGATTGACAGATAATGTTGAGAACATCTACCGGAACGTAGAACAAAAATATCATAGCGTATGTTGTGGTACCTTAAAAAAATAATTGAAGGAAATTTCCCAGAACTTAAATCACGAGTAGTCCAATTTAAAAGACTTGCCGAGAACTCAGCAAACCACACACCATTGTGAAATTTAAAATCACTGTGGACAAGGAGATTTTCAGGTTTCCCGAAGTGGAGATAAGAGTATACAGAGGGGAAAGATGATACAATCCATACACAACAGCTCAGGAATCAGAATGGCTTCAGATTTCTCAATGGCAAAACTAGAAGTAAGAATATAGAGGAATACTTTCATAATCCCCATGGGAAATCATTTTTAAACCTTTATTTCTACATTTCACCAGATTATCTTTTTTTTTTTTTTGGTTTTTTGAGACAGGGTCTCACTATGGAGTTGAGACTGACCTGGAACTCATTATGTAGCCCAGGTTGGTCTTGAACTCACAGCCATCCTCCTGCCTCAGCCTCCCGAGTGCTGGGATTACAGGCGTACGACACCACGCCCAGCTCACCAGATTATCAATAACCAAAAAGACATTCCCAGGCATGAGAATGCCCAATAAATTACTTGTCATACAAGTTTTCTGAAGAAATTATTGTAGGAATGTATTAACAAAACAAGAATGAACC